AAGGGTATACTTGTATTGCCCCAAAACGAAAAACTATAAGGACCTAATCCCTCATTCATTTTCACGAATCACCTTTTCCGCAGACGAAATGTTACAGTCTTATTCGCTGTGTATGAAGGAGTATGTTAAGCGACATGGGTTCGGCGCGGCGCCGAACAGTTCCGCACCAGTTATCAAGCGGGTAAGCGACAGGACTGTGTCACATCGCGTATTAATCGTTTTTCACCAGCTTCAACAACTGATGGGGAACGGAGCCATGTCGCCTGACACGCCTCTTTATCCGCAGCGAACGAGACTGTGCCTTCCTCGTGAACGAGCCAAAGGTTTTTTCGGCACGTTTTTGGTTGCTTGGAAAACTAAGGTTTTAGTTCTCTGATGAATGCACAAAGTGCACAGCTAGAAAATTTTACGGTGGGACATCATCGTAATTGTTTACTGCAATTGGGCGGTATGTAAGCATTGGCAACTAATGAAAGAAATCCCAGAATTCACAGAAGCTTCCGTGACGGATTAGCATTTCCAAGAATGTTGCTTGCTCCCCTGTTTTCGGACCAAAGTTCAAAATTCTAAGGCCTTGTGACATCACCAGGATTTCGTGACCCTTACTTTCTTCGCCCGTCTCCTAGTCTTGAAAGCGCGGGCATCGCCCTAAGGTTATTAATTCACATCAATATAAGAGAAATACATAGGTTAGATTATCTGTGTATCCCCTTATCAGAAATCCTCTGAACCGCTCACACACCTTGGGTCCACTTATGTGTTTACAGGAAGAAACCTTCTATTTCGACGATGTCAGCGAAAAAGACAGTCTACAGCTGGTAAGTTCTGAACGTCATAGAAATGTTTCGTTAGGCCTCGTTTATACAGTCGTCATCCTTGCACTTGATAGTCAATGTCAGTGCGGCTGCGTGCGGCGCGGTCGCCCGCACCCGTACTGCACCAATCGTTGAACCAGGAAGTGACATTACTGTATTATATCCTTCGTGTTACTCGTTTTCTATCACTTTTTGTCGCATACGCGTTTCAACGAAAAGGCTGAGAAGGCTTCAAACAGTGTGCACGCTCCTTCTCGCCGACACGCCCCTATCAAGTGCAAGGATGACGACTGTATGGAATGTGGGAAACCCGTAATTCAAAAGTAACCGGTTCTTCTGTGATCCATTGTGGCTGACTCTCCTGATAGGCAAATCCATCAGGCTACGTTCTCTCCGTTCGAGGCAGCGTCCACCAGCGACCACTAGCGTCCATCAGCAACCATTAGGGTTTCGAGCTTCCGTTAGCATCAGCAACTAGAAATGTACAGATATCGATTTAGCGAAGGGCAGCGTCTACCAGCGTCCACAAGCGTCAGTTAGCGTCCGCCAGCAAGCATCTGGGTCTCGAAGGACTAGGAAACTGTGGATATCGCTCTACCGTCTACCGTCCACCGGCGACCAGGAGTAAAAAGTATGGGAAGCAAGACGGAAATTGTGGCGTGCGCAGCCGACCGTACTCCTACACAATACCGTATTCATGGTCGCTTGTGGACGCTGGTAAACGCTAGATCGACATCCATGCTTTCCTAATCCCTCGAGACGCTGAATGGTCGCTGTTGTAAACTACGTGATTCCTCCTTTCCCCTAGTGATGAGCACGGGAGGATATAGCATATATTTAGTTTCCGTCTAAGGGTACGGGCTAGTGGTCGCTGGTAGACGTTGCCGCAAAGGGGTATGTGACAAGGGAATCGTAACTCGCCGCGTAGGTGGGCGTCGCGCCCGCAAATGACGATGGTTCCAGGTAGTAGATGGCGACAACAGGCAATTCAGAACCGAAAATAGTCATGAATGTCTACGATGACGGGGTCTACATGAAGTCCGGTGCTCCAGTCGACAGGTTAACACGAGTAAAGAAAACGCCGCGCCCATCGCCGCGCGCGGCGGAGCGGCAAATTACGACTCTTGCCCGTCTCCCGCCGCAAAGTTTGAACCCACATCCGCAAGGTATGAGCGGGCTCTCAAGTTCTGTTCTGCTTTGTGTACCTGCCCTACAATCCAGCTATTTTGATACAGATATTACGAAACCTTGTGGATTTTGTCACCAGTCGTCAGCGATCGCTAGCTGATGAATTCAAGAAGCAAATAAAGCATGGAGTAGTGAGAGACGTAGAGTTGTGCATAGTGACTCCGAGAGTTGAAGGTGACAAACTCACAGCATTCAGGTGTGTCCTTTTATGAATTGCTACCTGCAAATTCTGTGAAAATTCTTATGGCTCACGCCTGAGTCGCTTTTGCTTATGACATATATACCATTTTCACTTTAAATTCACCCTTTTCAAACCAAATTCACCCTTTTTCAAACCAAATTCACCCTTTTCAAACCAAATTCACCCTTTTCAAACCAAATTCACCCCTTTTCAAACCAAATTCACCCACCTTCCAAATCGAAATTCGCC